CACTTCTTTTCCGCATTTGTCCAAGTTTCTAAAAGTTTTTATTCTTTTCCTTTCAATACATTCGTATTGAAAAGTAAAGTAAGCTTTTGCAAAAAGCTTGCCCAAGGAGTTGTGTTTGAAAACTTTAAATAAGTCATAAGAATCACCAACTTGCATCTTTAGTGAATGATGTTTATTCCTTTAGTCTGAAATAACTTTTTCAGTTTCTTTTTTTTTCTCGGTCTACATTATTATGAGTTTGAATTTGGGCTAATAATTCTCTTACGAATGTCAGTATTTATGGAGTTTGGAGACAGGTGTCTACCTTTGAAATGAAAAGTGGTTCGAACAGCGATCACTGGGGTACAGTATTTAAAGTGTCTTAAGCTTGTAGTTCATCATTATTTCAAGATGTTTGAGTCCAGTGCTGTACATAGGCCTCGCCCATAGACTGCCATGAAGTACGATCTTAAGCTGTCATTGTCTGCAACCATCGAATTCCTTAGAATTGCTCTTGACCATCTTAAGAATGGCAAAGCATCAGGAGAGGACGGAACTACAGGAGATCTTCTGAAACCGGTTGGAGAAATAGTACTTGTGGTCCTTCAGAGGCTCTATAATTCCGCTGTTATTCAAAAACGGTGATAACGTTCTCTTGAAGTAATTTAGACTGTTTTCCCTTTTGAGACTCGTCTGTGTGCTGTTTTCAAAGTCATCTTGAATCGTCTAGGTTACAGACTCAACGATTTCTAGCCTCCCGAAAAATCCGGATTCCGTATAGGATTCAGTATCATATACCATATACACACTTTGCGACAGAATATACAGAAGACCGAGGAGCTGGCAGTTGCGTGCTGTTATTTTAATTCAAATGACTGATGGATATTAAAGAATGTATAGGGTAAGATCTTCTATCGTATAAGAGTATCTGAATAGAATACCTAGTGGCCAAAACCTACACCAGGAGCTCGCTCTGAAATACGGTCTCACGAAAATGACCACGACTTTATTGGGATTGGCACATCATCACGGACAAGAAGACTGTTAGTGAATCGTGTTGATGGACTGGCACAGTCGCGGTTATTTTTGTTTGACATTACCCTTCCATATCACGAGAAGCACATGAAAGTCGTAACAGATAAGAAGACGAAATATCTGGACCTGGCTCACAAGGTAACCGATATATGGGGTAGTGTGTTGTCTGTTACTATCCCGCTAGTCTTGTCTGCGAATGGGATGATCCCATTCAGGTTCTCCGAACATCTGAAACGACTGGTACTCCGGGAAACATCACTCCAACCTCAAACGCAGAAGGCGGTGCTCCTAGATACTGCCCACATCGTCCGCCGGTTTCTCTCCCTTTAACCCTAACCGTCGGCCGTTCTGGTCTCCCCTGCCGAGGGCTTACGTCTGGTTGACTTCCATTTATTTATATATTATGTATAACATATATCTATATGTTTATTTTCATTTATAAACACAACCAGGTGAGAAAACGAATAAATATCCACAAAGAATAATATTATATGATACAAGATAATATGTAATTTTAGATAGATATACTGTTTCAACCTGTACCGACAAGTAAGAAAACTAGTGATCTAATTGCAAAATATATACTAGAACATCACCAGCTGAGCGAACCCTAGTAATGATGATCGCTAATGAGGGTGTGCTCCTCAGGGCAGCTGGCAGTTAAGCTGGCAGTTAATAATGAACTCCATTATTTTAGGGAACAAGGAGGTGATGGCATTGGTGTATGGGTCGACAGATCTGAGCGAACACATTTTTAGGGATCGTGTATATGCGAGCGTGAATAAATCATACTGCAATAATTTGGAGCAGTACCTAGGGAGTAGGAGTGCTGGAAAAGGCGAGTTAAAACCAGTGCCAACTCTGAAGCACACGTCATTTACATACGTTAGGTAGGAGGCATTTCGTCGGGCCCGTTCGACGCACTGTGGGTTGCAGAAACCTAATTCAATGTCAAGTTAAACACGAAGAGGTTGCCCAAAAGTTGAACTTTTTCTTTTCAGCAGTGTCAACGAGGGCCATAGGCCAACGAGGCCTAGTCATCTCCCCTATGCAGAGATGGAAAAGGTGGCGTACAGAAAAGCCATTAAATAGCCTTGACGAGAGACCAAAATGCACAAGTTCCTACAGGAAGGAAAACTAATCTTTTGCGCATGTGCTCAGACCTTGCTGATGCGAAGGACCTAGAGGCAACGTTTAACTACTTTTTTAAATGAACGGTATTTACATCCCGAGACGCCAACTCAACGGTCCAGTCTGTCTACTACTTTTGGCGAGATGTCGCTTTGTAGGAATGATGAAACCAGGGCTAGGATCTGCCAGGGATGGGAACCTAAATTAGGTACCTTACTAGGTTACACCTAAATTAGGTGACAGAGTCAGTGATGGCACTGACATCATACAGTGAAAAGTAAACCTGGGCCAGGGTTGAGCTGGAAAGAATGACCCCACCCCATCCAATCTGCTGACCTGTTCTGCCATACACGGCGGAAATTCTTATGCACTACGCTCCGCACCAGACAGTGGTTTGACGACCCCAGGGGGGCTTCCGCAGTAACCTGATAGTAATCCGCATGAGTGTTAAGCAGAAAGTCTAACAGGGAACCAAAGATCATGATCTCTGCGGTTATAACTCGTAATCTATACCCATTTGGACGTGGTTTGTCAGTCAATTTGTTTCGGTATTACCGCTATAGGACCTATATAGGCACAACCTATATATGATGGAGAGGTCTATGCCGTCAAGGCTGCTAAGACGACGAGAATAAACATCATCTCTGACATCCACATAAACTCCGGCTCGGAGCATAAAGGAGTTTTCCAATCTGTACCCCGGGTAAGAAGGGTGAGATGCGTCAGTCGGAGAAGATATCTGAGTCTCAGTAAAAAATATCAAGGCCGGCTTTGCTGTCACTATGTGATATTGGAAGGCATTGGAGTTGCAGTGGAGTTCCCTAACATTTCAAAATCGACGGAGAGCATAGTAGGGGTTGCCGTAGTGCCGTAGCAGGCATGCTACGCTTGTCTTGAGCAGAGTGAATGGAGAGCGGATTTTTTTCCAAAGAGCTATCTGGACGCGGATGCTCAGTGAGAGATTATCTGGGATATAATAATTTCAGCGAAGAGATAATACTTTAAGCAGCTGATATTTAATTGAGTTTTCTTATTGTGTAGAAAAAAATCGCTTAATACTTCAAACTTTTCTACGTGCCACACAAAGGTGGTGGAATCCTCTTCAGAATTTTGTTCAATAGCTTCAACCTGATAAGTATAGCTTGACCTGCATTCTTTAAAAAATCTGTCAACGCCCTTTACAAGTAAAAGTAACTACTCTTTTTAACCTTCGACTAGATAATGCCTATGCGTGCACCCGTATGTGCTCTTCTATCGTTAAATATAGTGTCAGTTGTATAGTGTTTATTTACAATATTTAAATATTTTAAGAGCTACCAAATTTGTCAATACTTTTAGTCATATCTTTCTATCAGGCTACAAATCAGAATTATTTTTATATGTTTAGTTTAAAAGTATTAATATAAAACAGGTATCCATTTTACAATATTTATTTAATTTTTTCACTAAGCTTCATGACCTTTTACAAAGAGTTTTTACTACATTTTTTAATTAAAACTAATTTTTCCTATTACTATTAATGTATAGGCGGATTGAACGATCGGATGGAACCTATTTAAAATCGTCATTATTGCTTTTTTGTTTAATAAATCATTTTTATTTGATCGCTATAGTTAATGTAATCTTCTTCCCTTAAGTTATTTTTTATCAAAAACAATTCAATCAAGAAACCCCATTAAATTGATCTACAGAAATTAATGTTTATATTTTCCAGTAAAACTATATATTTTTGAATTAGCCAAGTTTATATATAAAGGTTAGATAACTAGTGTATGTTGCTAAAAATCTTAAATTTTGGAATAGAAGATAATAAATATAATAAAATAATTATCTAGATTAAGTCATACTTATGTACCATTGGTTTATAATGTGCATAATTCAAATACGAATAGCACATAAATTCATATATTCATTTGATAATTTCCGCCAGATTTTCAGTATTTACGATATCAACGTTACGATGAAAAATTTTATATAATTGATCCTTTAATAACACGTGGTTAAATTCCACAAAACCGTTCTTAGCACTCTTCTCTCTCAAACAGTTATCGATTATTTCACCTTAGGTTTCTTTTTAAGTGGTCTTAACAACGTAAACATTACTTCAGCGTCTGAGCAAAGCATCATTTCTTTATCGGATCTTATTGAAGGAAACCAATACTTAGGTTAAAGGGAAGATAGGAAGGTTGAAAATTTCCGAAATAAAGATAATTTGGTTTCCGGGATGCGTTTACATTTGACTACTGTAATGGTTATTTAAAAAAAATAAAAACAAAAAATATTTATTCGCACAGCTTTCAAGGGAAGCATTTTTATAGTCATACACATCCTTCGTAATAACTTTATAATAAAATACCTGAGTAGAGGAACTTCGTTGACAAAAGTAAATTTATTATGACGTAAGTTAAGCGCTCTCAATAATTTTGTTATTTTGTTAATTACATTGTTTTTACTACCCCAATTTTCTATCGTCACAACAATCCCAGTGATGGTATAAAAATAGTGACCTGACTATATTCTTGATTAAAATGTAGCCAAATCACACCGCTGTTTCTTATCTCGAAAGACGATTATTGTTAATATAATAAAAAAATAAAAAAATATATATACATATATATATATATATTTGTAAAATAATATTCAACTAAGCTCGCAAACGCTAGTATTCTATTCTCTCCCAAAAAAGATCAATCAAAACAGTTACGCTCAGCATCGGAAAAAGTCCAAAAATAAATTTACAATACAAGAAAACTTAAAAAAAATATAAATAAAAAATAAAAAAATAAATTATAGTCCAACGCAATCTTTAGCCCGCGAGCCGAGAGTCGGTCGGCAACTTGTGCCCCGATACTTACCGCGGCGCCGTCGACCGTTCGTAGACGCGGAGCTGTAGCCGAGAAGTAGCAGCCGAGCCGGGGCGCGAGTTACGGGTGCGAGCCGAGAGCCGAGAGCTGAGAGCCGAAAGCTGAATGAGGCGACCGTCCTCGGAGAACGGTGGCGTCAAACTACATACACCGCTCGCTGCTTATCGACCACGCGCCGCGGACCGCCCGCCTCCCCAATACGCCATCGCGCCCGCCTACCGCGCAACGTTACCAAAATGCGAGCACCTTTAAACTATTCATCCGTCGTTATCCACACCATCGGTGGTCACGTGACTCACCAGCTGAACTGGACCACCTGGTCATCTGACCGATCCACTACGTGATATTCACTTGTTGAATGTATTAAGATATTCAACATGGAATTATTTACAAGTTCTCCATATTATGTGCATTTATTTCATCTCTTTACCGATTGTGAGGTCTTGTTTAAAATAATTTTACTAAGGTTTTACAAATGTGTTATAATTAATATAAAGTTACTTATATTTCGGATCAGTAAAGTATAATTTCTTTTTTTTTTTGCGCCCCTGCTTAGAGTATGATTAATATACCAACTGATGGCACGGGGTGACCGTAGGCGGTAAATATAACTAGCTGAGTAGGAGCCGACTCCTCACACCTTGATTACCACAAAATACGAGCGAAAAGACAGACGCCAGCAAATTGTTCCATTCCTTTGCTGTAATTGTTGATAAAGATAAAGACTTGGTTCTGGTGCGTTTAACAGCGAAAGGATGGAATTGTGGTGGGCTCTAGCCACCCTGAGCTGGAAAGGAAGGAGAGAGAATTAATTGGTGTAATTCCGTCATACCAAAATGCAACCTGAAGAAAACCGAGAGTCTGGGTATCCCTCGCCTGCACTCAAAGCTAATAAGATGGTTATTAACCAAATTAGAGCCACGAGTGATCCAAAAACGCCACATCTATTATTGATTCTAAATCATGAAGATGGCATTTAGCAGCAGTCGGCTCCGGTTAAAATATTGCAGCATTACTCCATCCATGACCGGTTTTATTCTTGCAACGTTACCTTAATAAATATAAACACAACTTTTGAGAGTAAATGCACATGGCCTTTCCGCACAAAGAATATGCATATTTATGCTCTAAATAATACAAACGCAACTAAAATACTGTAAAACAATTTTTTTTATTTAATAAAACATTTTTAAGCAGCTCTTTTAAAGGAAATAATCGATAGTAATAAGATTTTTCATTTTACATATTTGTTTTTCTGAGAGAGGACACATTATCACTTTGATAACGGTCGGTAGCTGTTGGATAGCAATTGCCGCCCATAGGCAAACACAATCAGATCGTTAGACTTTTACAGGCTGATCTCCGATGTTTCACTCATAGGATGAAATGCTAAAGTATAAAAAAGTAAAATAAAGCAACACATGCCCTACAACTATAGAATTATGTCCCACTGCTGGGCAAGGGCCTCCTCTGTACAGAGGATATTAGGATATAGTCCACCGCGCGACCCCACTGCAGATTGACGGACTTCACATTCATTGCTTTTTGTTATTATTTCGAAAATATGCAAGTTTCCTTTAACCGCTGAGCACTTGATAAATCAGCACTAAAAATTTACAATTTCATTGGCACCGTAATTTGAACGCAGGTTACCCAATATTGAATAAAAGCGAGCGCACGGAAACTGAGCTGTCACGTCTCTAAAGTATAAATATATCTTATTTACGCCGCTTTGCCAATCTTATAGCATGGAGGCGAGGTAGCACATGTATCTGCCGCAACAGCAGATGCGTGTTCTGTGACTCAAAACACCGGTATATTTCTGCGAACGTCCCAAGCTCAGATAATTAATATATATGCCACATCTAAATTCTTATTGCGCTAATCAGCTGTTAAGAAGAAACGTTAGAATTTGTAGAAGAAAGGATCTTGTATCTTGTATTAACTGATGTTTTTGCTTTCAGTCCCGAGAATATTAAAGCTTCATCTGACGCAGAACCGGTGGGCTAGCCAGAACCCACGGGTTTGGGCCCTCCGTTGTGGGTAGGGCCACGCATGTGCTCATGCGTGTGTTTAAGAATTCTGTGTCATCTAAGTGCCATCGAGGTCGCGGTTCGGACCGAAACCCCGATGGCCGTCGACTGTGCAGCTAATCGGTGGCTGGGAGCGGTGAGAACCGCCCCGAAACGCGAGTGTACCTTGTGTACGCGTTGTGTTAGTCTCGCCGTGCTCGGAGCCGAGGGCGAACTACTACTGTTTGTTGTTGCACTGTGAGTGTAGTGTTATCCGGCGGGACCCCCGGCGGTGGGTCTGGCGTATCTAAGTTCCCTTCCTCGACCGGGTCGATTAGGACGTTTCGCGGGCGACGCTTGTTGACGTTCGCGTTTGTGTCGGGTTGGTAATTTGCTGCGCTTACCACCAGAGGGTTGAGATGATGTTCGGCTCTATCGAAGAACCGTTTGGTCAAGACTTTAAAATATTCGCGAATCGTCGGGAGTCTGCAATCGCTGTGCAGGTCGACGTTGCGTTGATACCATTGCGCACCGGTTGCGCGGCGGATGAACTTATTTTGTACTATTTGCAACTTGTACAAGCGAGTAGGGTGCGTGTGGGCGAAGGTCATGCATGCGTAGGACATAATAGGTCGTACGCAGGTCTTATATAATAATAATTTGTGCCTTAAGGGCATTTTACTTTTAGCGTTAGTTAAATTGTGTAGCCGATCGGTGACGAACGCGGCGTACGGCGAACGCGAACGTTATTAATGTGCATATTAAATGACATACGCGAGTCGAAAGTGACTCCTAAGTATTTGACCTTTTTCTCCCAGGGGAGCGGTTGACCATAAAGGGATAGTTTCTGCATTGATGAGGGCCATTATAAAGATGTTACGGGTAAGTACTTCCTGTGAAGTGAATCGCCACACTCTTTTCGGGTTTTATTTCTATTCTCCATTTGCGGAACCAATCGCCGAGGCGGTCGGCGGCGCTTTGGCTTCGAGTGGTTAGTTGTCTAAAGTTGCGGTCTGAATAAAAGAGCGCCGTGTCATCCGCGAAAAGCGCGAGATTGACGTGGGGGTCTTTAGGTATATCGCTCGTGTAGAGCGTAAAGAGCAAAGGTGAGAGGCAGGAGCCTTGTGGTACACCGGCCGTGAGCCGGTGGCTTGTGGAGAGGGTGCCTTCAACTCGATATCGAAAAGAACGGTTCGACAGGAAGGCCCGGATGGTGTGTACGAGCCTATCTGGCACTTTGAGTGTGTACAGCTTGTAAAGCAAGCCGTTGTGCCAGACCTTGTAGAATGCTTTTGCGACATCGAAAGAGCCCCTGTACTAATATGTTTAGGTGATTTAGGGCTTTTAGAATATGTTCTGTTAGGCGGAATAGTTGATCGGGACAGGAATGTCTAGCATGAAAGCCGAATTGTTCCGCCGGCAGAAGGCCGTTGGAAAACAAGTGCTCATTGAGACTGTTTAATAAAAGTCGCTCGTAGAGCTTCCCCAGGCAACTGAGGAGGCGGATGGGACGATAACTAGAGGGCTGGTTGGCTGGTTTATTCGGCTTGCGAATGCCGATCACCGTGGCTTCTTTCCAGTCGTCCGGAAAGGAGCAACTGGAGAGTAAAGTATTGTAAATGGTCGCCAGTAAACAGATAAGCGGCCCAGGGAGAGCTTTAAGAATTTTGTTACCAATATTATCTGGGCCCGGGGCGGATTTGGGTTTTAAGTTTTTAATAATATCTTGGACCTCTTCGGGGGTCACTGAACTCAAAGGATCGCCTTCCGGTGGAAGCGCAGCCCTAATCTCGACTACGCGGGCCACCTCCGTTAGGTGGGCTGTATCGATGTGTTCGCGCGATGACGTACATTGCTGCTCTAGGTTGTCCGCAAGTCATTCGGCTTTTTCGGAGTCATCTAGGGCTACTGAAGCGCTATTAGGTCTAACTAACGTGGGTAGGGATTCGCGGGGATCTCCTTTCAGACTGCGGGCCAACCGCCAGTAGGCGGTGTGCGATGGCTCGATGTCCTCTAGGAAAGTGTCCCACGTCGTGTGTCGGTGTTCCGATACACGATCTTTGACTTCTAGCTGAAGGCGTCGAAGTAGGGTTCGGTTCAATTCCGATCGTTATCGATCGAAAGCGCGTTTGGCTGCATTTTTCTGGCTAATTAGCAGTCGCAGGTTGGGCGGAAAGTTAAACCGTCGGTCGCCCGACAGTTTAACCGTCCGTTCCGAGTCTGTGACTGCGGAAGTAATGGTTTCTCGGAGACTCGCTATCGCTCGATTTGCGTCATCGAACGTAGCTATCGTCTCGGGTAGGTCGACTAAGTTCTGGGGTCCTAGGCCTCGAGTTTGACCTCAAGACGATGCCAGTCCACTACGGATTTGGTCGGAGGGACCGCGCCGGCGTTCTGGCCCAGTTTACACAGGACGGACCTGTGATCTGAATCTAGTTCATGGATTGTCGCTATCGACTCGATGTCGAGCGTGAACTCCTTGAATAACATGATATCTAGGATACTCGGTGTCGCGTGTTGGTAGTTGTCCACCGCAGGATACCTAGCGGGAGTCGCAGGAGCGATTATGCTAAAGTTTAAGTTATCGGATAAGCTAAAGAGATGCTTTCCGTTGTTATTTGGGATGCTGTGGATGTCCCATGAGCCGTGTTTGCAGTTTAAATCTCCTGCAATTATCATGGAAGGGCCTAAGTTGAGTAGCGTATCTAGGTTGCTTTGTAATAAGGTTTTGTTCCCCGAGAGGAAGGCTGAGACTAGTAGAAGCGGCCTATGGTCGGTGACCGCTAACCTACACGCGGATGCCTCTATATGGCTTAGCTCTGGAATTTCGAGCGGGCTGCAGTGCAAGGACCGTTTGTAATAAATTAAGGTGCCTCCCAGATGGTTTGCTAATCGATCGTGGCGGACTATGTTGTAGTTTGCGATTCTGAGATCGCGAACACCAGGTGTCTATTGATGCGATCTAATAAGCGATTTGTCGTGAGGCGACCGGGGGCGCGACTAACTGCGCGGCCACCTGGGGTTTCGCCCAGGCGTTTACGATGGGTACGGGCGCGGGAACGTATTTAACCGCTAGCACTGAGAGTCTTTTCGTCCTGTTTTTAAATGCAAATTATAAACTGGGTCTAGAAGAGTTGTTATACAAAGTAAAAAAAAAGTAAAGGTGGCCCTGAGATCTTTAAGGAAAATAAGGTTTAAATCAAAACATACCTGCAAATATCATGACAAAATATTAACATTTTCCATTGATAAAATTTACTAACTAAAGTTTACTGTTTTCACGAAGAAAAATGTGTCGTAGCGACCTTTGCG